CGACGACCATTACAGCGCCTATGACGAAGAAAACGACGACGACGCCGGCGGCGACGACGACGACTATTACGACGACGACGACGACGGCGACGACGACGACTATTACGGCAACTATGACGAAGACGACAACGGCGGCGGCGGCAACGACGACGACGACGACGACGACTACTGATACGACGAACGAGGACTATTACGACGACGACGACGACTATTACGACGACTATGACGAAAACAACGACGACGACAGCGGCGGCGGCGACGACGACGGCGACGACGAATGTTACGGCGAACGACGACTATTACGACGACGACGACCATTACAGCGCCTATGACGAAGAAAACGACGACGACGCCGGCGGCGACGACGACGACGACTATTACGACGAACGACTACTATAACGACGACGACGACAACCATTTCGGCGACTATGATAAAAGCGACGACGACAACGACGGCGGCGAAGACGACGACGACGACGACGGCGACTATTACGGATAACGACGACTATTACGACGACGACTATTACGGCGACTATGACAAAGCCGACGACGGCGGCGGCGGCAAGGACGACGACGACGACGACGACGCCGACGACGACTACTATTACGACGAACGGCGGATAGTACGACGACGACATTTACGACGACGACGACGGCGACTATTACGGCGACTTTCACGAATACGACGACGACAGCGGCGGCGGCGACGACGACCACGACTATTACGAAAAACGGCGACCTTTACGACGACGACGACGACGACTATGGTGACGAAGACGACGACGACGGAGGCAGGGACGACGACGACGACGACGACTACTATTTCGACAAACGACGACTACTATTTCGACGCACGAAAACTATTACGACGACGACGACGTCTATTACGGCGACTATGACGAAAACGACGACGACAGCGGCGGCGGCGGCAACAACGACGACGACTACTGAGGCGCTGAACGACGACTATTACGACGACGACGACGACGACGACTATTACGGCGACTATGACGAATACGACGACGGCGTCGGCGACAACGACGACGACGTCTATTACGACGAACGACGACGACGACTATTACGGCGACTATAACGAATATGACGGCGACGACGACGGCGACGACGACAACGACGACGACTATTACGACGAGCGACGACGATTACGACGACGACGACTATTACGGCGACTATGACGAAAACGACGACAACGGCGGCGGCAACGACGACAACGACGACGACTACTATTACGACGAACGAAGACTATTACGACGACGACGACGGTTACAGCGACCATGTCGAAGACGACGACGACGTCGCCGACGACGACGGCGACGACGACTACTGTTACGACGAAAGACGACAATTCCGATGACGACGACGACGACGACGACGACTATTACGGCGACTACGGCGAAGACGACGACGACGACGACGACGACGACGACGACGACGACGACGGCGGCGGCGGCGACGACGCCGACTATTACGACGAACGACGGCGATTACGACGTAGACGACAATTCCAGCGACTAGGACGAACACGACGACGACGGCGCCGGCGACGACAACGACGACGACGACGCCTACTACGACGAGTACTACTACTACGACGGTAACGACGACGAGTACTATTACGACGAACGACGACTATTACGCCGACGGCGACGACCATTACAGCGACCATGGCGAAGACGAGGACGACGACGACGACGGCGGCGAGGACGACGACGACGACTTCTATTACGACGAACGACGACAATTACGACGACGACAACGAACGACGACGACGAACGGCGATCATTACGACGAACGACGACGTCGACAAAGACGATGACGACTACTATCTTGGCGATTGCGAAGACGACGGTTACGACGAACGACGGCTATCACGACGAAGGGCGACTATTACGACGAACTACTACGACGAACGACGACGACGACAACAACTACTCTTTCGGCGATTACGACGACGTCGATTACGACGAATGACGACTATGAGGACGAACGGAAGCTCTTACGACGAACTATTAAGACAAACGGCGAACGACGAACGACGACGACACTCACGATGACGACGACTACTAGTACGGCGCTTACGGCGATGACGATTACGACGACCGACAACGATTACAACAAACGGCGACTATGACGACAACCTACCACGACGACCAGCAACGGCGACAACGACGACGACGACGACGACTACCATCACGACGAATTTGACAACTATTACGACGAACGGCGACTACTACGACGAACGGCAACCATCCCCACGAACTATTACGACGACGACGACACCGACTACTGTTACTGCGACTACGACGACTGTTACGACGAACGACGCCTAATACGACGAACGACAACCATTACGACGAACAACGGCGAAGATGACGACGACGACGACGACTACTATTAAACCAATTACAGCAACGACGAGATACGACTAACGACGACCATTACGACGAACGACGACTTTTACGATGAACTAGTACGACGACCAACGGCAACGACGACGACAACAAATAGTATTACGGCGAGTACGACGACGACGATTACGACGAACGGTGGCAATTACGACGCTCGGCGACTATTACGACGAACGGAGTACGACGAACGACGACGAAAATGACGTTGACGACGACGACGACGACGACTACTGTGACGGCGATTACGATGATGACGAGTACTTCCGACGAACGACGAATGTTACGACAAACTATTACGACGAACGGCGACGACGACGACGAACGACGACAACAATTAATGCGTTTACGACGACGACGACTACGACCAACGACGAACTATCACGTCGAACGGCGACGATCCCAGCGAAGTATTACGACGAACGGCGACGACGGCTACTATTACGGCGATTACGACGACGACGATCACGACTAACGTCGACTATTACGACCAACTGCGACTATTACGACGATCCCTTGTGACGAAAACGGCGACGACGACTGCTATTACGGCGATTACGACGACCACAATTTCGGTGAACGGCGACCAGTACGACGAACGACAGCTACGACGACGAACTATTACGACGAACGGCTACGACGACGACGACGGCAACGACAGTTATTACGGTTATTACGACGACCATTAAGACGAACGACGACTACTATTACGACGAACAATTACGACGAACGACAACGACAACGACGACGACGACGACGACTACTATCTCGGCGATTACGACGGCGACCATTCGACGAACGACGACTGCTACAAAGACCGAGCTGTTACGACAAACGACGACTGTTACGAGAAATCATTAGAAAGAACGACGACGACGACCTTTTTACGGCAATCACGACGACGACGACGATTACGACGAACTACAGCTAGCACGACGAACTATTACGACGAACGACGGCGGCGACGACGACGCTGCCTACGATTACGGCGGTGGCGACGACGACGACTACGACGAACGACGACCATTACGACGAACGACGACTATTACGAGGAACTGTTGCTACGAACGGCTACATCGACAACGACGACGACGTCGAATGCATCAGGGCTATCACGACGACGACGATTACGACGAACGACGACGACGACGACGAACGACGACTACGACGACGAACTGTTACGACGAACTATAACGACAACGACGACGACAACTACGACGACGACGTCGACGACTACTATGACGGCGGCTACGACGACGACGACGATTACAACGAACGACGACTGTTACGACGAACGACGACTATTACGAAGAACTAATACAAGAAACGACGACGACGACGACTACTATCACGACGAATGGCGTCGACGACTACGATTACGGCGACTACGACGACGAGTATTACGACGACGACGACGACTATTACGACGAATGGCGACAATATCAGACGAACTATTACGACCAACAACGACGACGACTATTACGACGACTGTGCGACGAACGACGTCGACGTCGACTTCGACGACTATTACGTCGACTATCGCGACAAACGACGACGACGACGACTACGCGGAACTATTACGACGACGACGACGAGTATGATGACGACGACGACGACGACGACTATCACGACGAACGGCAGTTTTTACGATGAACGACGACGACGACGACGACTATCACGGCGATTACGACGACAATTACGACGAACGACGAGTATCACGACGAACGACGACTATTACGACGACCTAGTTCGACGAACAACGACAACGACGGCTATTACAAAGAACGACGTCAACCACTACTAGTACGGCGACTACGACGACCAATATGACGACGAACGACGACTGTTACGACGAACGACGACTTCTTCGAGGAACTATTACGACGAACTGTTGAGACGACGACGACGACTATTACGACGAACGACGTCCACGTCGACGACGAATATTACGACGACTGTGACGACGAACGACGACGACGACTATCACGAGGAGCTATTACGACGGCCACGAAGACTGTTACGACGATTGCGACGATCACGACGACGATGACCACGCATGGCCGCGGATGGCGCGCACGACGACGACGACGACGACGACGACGACGACGACGACGACGACGACGACGACGACGACGACGACGACAAGTATTACGACATTACGACGATTACGACAACGACGACGAAGGGCCTTGGGTGGCGCGCATGACGTCGACGACGACTACGACGACGACGACGATGACTACTCCGACGAGCACGACGATACAAACATTCACGACGGTCACCACAACCGCGACGACGCCGACGACGATGGGTCTCGGGAAGCGCGCACAACGACGACGACGACAACGACGACGACGACGACGACAACGAAGACGACGACGACGACGACGACGATTACGACGACGACGACGATTACGACGACGACGATTACTACGATCACGACGAAAGGACCTGGAGGCTTCTGCCTCTTCAAAGCTGCGAGGGCTTCTGAAAGGGTCCATGCCTTCTCAGAAGCTTCCCCGCTGGCGTAGAAAGTCTCCCGCCTCGCGCCACCCCCTTGTTTTCGCCGCCGGGCTCCCACGGCTGCACCGCGGGCGGCGGGACGGTCCGCGGCGCGGGCAGCAGGCGCCAGCGCAGACCCACAGACCCCCTCGGGTCATGAAAGAATCATGACGCTAACCAGCCTCGAGCATATGCGTACCCCAAAAATTGGCAGGGCAGAAAGGCGATGACGATCTTAGGGATGCGCCCTCAGTGACTGAGGGCACCCCTCAGATCGGCATCGAGATGAAGGCGCTGCCAGGCATAGGGATAGGGAATGCTTCAGGCCGGTCAAAAGGCGGGAGGGCTTCCGCCGTGCTCGGCCTCTGGGGTGCCTCGCTGGCCATGATGGGGCCGCCCCAAGAGCGACCCAGACAGAGCCGAGTAACCCGGGCAAGGGTTCAGGGCCGCTGGGGGCACACGACATGAAAAAGACACGACGTCGGGGGTCTGCGACGCTTGGTCGCCCTGGCCCGCCCCCGCTGCTGGGAGCGCCGGCAGCTGCAGCGGGCAGACCTGCACGGCCGCCGGCGGGCCCGCATCGAGTGGCCCGCCGCGCGGCTTCTCGGGCGCCTCCGCGACGAGCCCGCCGCCCGCGGCGCCGCCCTCCAGGGCATCAGCCAGCGGGGGCGCGGCGGGCCGCGCGAGCGCCGCCTCCAGCTGCTCCAGCCGGTCGGCCAGCCTCGCCTCCAGCCCAGCCAAGGCAGCGCCGAGCGCTGCGCAGCCGCCACTGCCGCCCTCCGAGGGATCGGCCTGCGGGGCCGCAGCGGGCGGCGCCAGCGCTGCCTCGAGCTGCTCCAGCCGGTCGGCCAGCCTCGCCTCCAGCCCACCAAAGGCAGCGCCGAGCGCCGTGCTGAGGACGGAGCGCAGCTCGGCCCCAGAGCAAACCCCAGCAAGCGGCTCGGCCTTCACCACGGGAAGCTCCTCGGCCATCCCCTGGGACGAGCAAATGCTTGCTCTGGTGTGGCGTTGCTCCGCGGCGAGCACGGCGACGGAGTCGTGTAGATCAAGCAGCAAATTCCACTTGTGGTCGAGGTCCATCTTCATGGTGGTGATCTGCATCCGCATGTCGCAGAAATGCGTCTCCTGAATGAAGCGGAGAAACTCCTCCCTGTTTATGGTCTCGCTGCGGTCCAGGTCCATCATATCGAAGACTTCCTTGAGCCGCTCCTCGCCGACGTCCAAGATTGTCATCAGACTCCTGAAATGAGGCTGGGTCCGCCAAGCCTCAACGAACTCGTTCCACGCTATCTGTTTGTCATGGTTCTTGTCCATCTTTTTGAGCAGCGCCTTCAGGCTCTTCAGGGACGACCTCTTCTTATCCTCAACCTGCTTCGCCCTGTGTTCCTTGTCGTCCTCGAGGGCGCTCTGGGAGTCGGCGACGATGACCGAGAGCACGACGTTCAGAATGGCAAGCTGCAGGGTCATGGACACGCCAGCAAAGAACCCGCCACCGTGCCTTCAGCACGCAGTGGAGTGCCCCCAAGGCTCATACAGATGCGAGCGTTCCCTGACATCCTCGCGCCGTGAAAAAATCACGATCGACAAGGTTTGGAAATGCTCGCTCTCCCAGGTCCTTACTGGGCCCTGGGACCGTCACAAAACGACTTGGGATGGAAAGCTGGCTCCCAGGAAGGGTTCCAGAACTCTGGGGAGCCACATAGTGTAAAAATACGGCGTCGGACGTCTTGAAGGGACTGCTCCGATTCCTGTGCGGGGCGGGGCGTCTCTGGCACATGCCGCGCGGGCCTTCGGGAGGCCAGGCCCGCACGAAACGGACTCCAACTCCCCACAAGAGCCCGCCAAGAGATTTACAGAGAGGCTCAAACGTCCTCGATGGCGGGCGGGCTTCAAAGCCCTGAAGGTCGGCCCAAGAAGCCTTCCCTCGCTTCCGCTGCACCACCGACCAGGCTCTCGAGAGGACTGGGCAGCGGGGCTGGAGAATGTCGGGCGCACGAGGCCCTGCCTGAAGACCTAGTCGAAGACAACGCCTATGCACACGAGCCAGAACACGAGCCCAGGTACACAAGAGTCGAAGGAGTACCTATTCAAATGAAGCACATGAGGACGGTCTATGTCCGCATGCTTGGCGTGTCGGTATCCGGAGCGTCCGAGGCAGCGCGAGGAGGCCGCCGAAGCCAACGAAAGAGGGCCCGCGAGGCGCCCAAGCCCGCCCATGAGATGAGGTTTTGTGGGCCCACCAAATCCAGCCCAGAAGACTCTCAAGAGGCCCCAACAAGGGGGCCCAACTGGAGGGAACTCGAACCGCCAGCGTGAGCCATCCACCCCAAGACGGCCTCTGGACAGCCAGCAGGCACCCAAGAGGCCTCCAATAGGCTCCCAGTGGCCCACTCGTAAGCCCACAGGAATGCCCTACGCGGCCCCAAGTAGGCCGCCAAGGGGCCCCAATGGGCATCGAAGACGACTCTTCTCCACGACACAGGCTCTTCGGCGGGATGGGTCGAAGGCCACTAGATACCCAAAGGTACCAATTCTGAAGTATGAGCGGGATTAAGCACGCCCCCCAACCGTCACCCTCCACGCTTGTGATCCAGAAGAACATGACTGCACGCTGAACTGAGCTGAATGCCAACGCGCAGAACTCATCGTTCTCGTTGGCTCTCTGGTTGGGCTCGTGGATAAGTTCGACTGCCGTGATCGAAAACACGAGGATCATGATGAGGGCAAGGACGATCCCCCAGAACATTGCCGACAAAGCGTGGGGAAGGCCTCGAATCAAGAGGTACAACTGCGGCACCAGGCTTATCAATCGGAGGGCTCGTCCTGCCCTCAGCACTCGGAACGCACGAAGCCCCTGGAGGCTGACCACCTCGTTCGACGTGATGACGGCGTCGATCACCCCTGCAACGACGACGATAAAGTCTATGGTGCTCCATCCAGATCGGAAGAAGCTGAGGCGCTGCACACTGATCCGCATAATGATCTCCACCACGTAGATCCACCACCGCGCTCGCAGAGCGGCAGCTGTGCACGTGCGTGTGCGTGTGCGTGCCTGCGCTTGTGCTTGCGCGTGTGCGTGTGTTTGTGCTCGTGTGCGGTGTGCGTGTGCGTGTGCGTGTACGTGTGCGTGCCTGTGATCGTGTCTGTGATTGTCTTAATGTTTGTGCTGATGTGCATGCGCGTCAAGAAAATGAGACAGCAGCTTGCCGCATCGGTGAAGCCGCCCTGGCAGTTGGGTTTTCGCGTCCCCAGATTTACAGACGCGCCAGTGGACCACAGCGCTGGCAGCAGAAACACTGCGTGCGAGACAAGGCCAAGTCCCCCGCGAGACGGACCCCGAGAGAGACGCATCTGGGCTTCAGAGGCCCCAAACCGCCAGTATCAACACAGGGTGGATGGGGGCATCTGGAGCGCGTCGGCCCCCCAGGGCCCACCAATGAGGCGCAAGGGGAGACTCCAACGGCCCCAACTCGGCGGCGAGCGACGGGGGGGAGTGCGAAGGAGAAGGCCTTCTCAGAAGGCCAGGAGGCGGAGGGACTTCTCAGAAGCCCACTGGCCTTCTGAGAAGTTGTCTGTGTCTTCGGGGAAGGCTTCCGAGCCTTCTGAGAACTCGGGCGCACGCGAACATGGACTAGGGATATGTGGAAGTGGTGCGCGGTCGCCAGATCCATGGATCGGGGAAGGTACCCAGAGAAATAGCGCCAGTGCCGCCAGATTTGGTGGCGAAACGCCCCGATGTTGCATGGAAACGGGACCCGCCGCGAATGCACGCGCCTTCATCCATGCTTGTGTTTCCTCGACCCTCTCGCTTCCCCCCGGGCTCGCCGCCGACCCACGCGACCCAAGACAGGCCCCTGGAGAGGACCAAGCTGCCCGCGGCCAGCTCCAGACGGCCTCGGAGCTGCCCCCGAGACGCAGCCCCGAGCCCTGCGCCTCCGAGAGGCTGCCCGACGGCGCAGCCCCAGGGCCGCAGAGAGGCAGAATGGCGCCGCCGAAGCTCCCACGCGGGCCTCCGAAGAGGGCCCAATGGAAGGCAGGAAACGCAGAGGCTACTACACGCCGGTCGGAAGAAGTAGGCAGAAACATGAAGTGGGAAGGCGAACAAAGCAGATCTTGTCTGGGCCCCAACCAGCAATCAACACACATCGGTCCTTGGAGTAGGAGGGGCGCTTGAAGTATATTGGCTTTTTGGTGATGCCAAAGGGCTCCAGCAGGCCCCATAGACACGGCCCTAGACGGCCTCGCAGTGGCCAAAAGTTTCACCACATGACGGCCCTGCACTCTTCGAAGGAGTCAGCCGCACAAGCTGGGTGCTCGGAAGAATGTGCATGAGATTGTCCAGGATTGGAGTGCAGAGAGCGCGACGTCATCGCTGGCGCGCTCCTACGAAAAACGGTCGCCGCGCAGGAGCGAATCGCGACCGCGGAGTGTACGTTTCGCTTTGCTTCGACATTGTAGGGGCGCGAGGCGATCGGTGTAGGACGGCCCAAGCGATGTGACCCGCGGCCGCGGACATCAGCCGTATCGGCAATCCGCGCACACCGATGCAAAATTACAGAAACTACACGCCCCCGGAAACATCCCAGATTGTGCTCCATAAGTTGTATGAACCCTTACTTGTTCAACTTACTGTTGCTCCTGAATACAATTACCCAACGTGCACTTGTGAACTATGCTACTAGAGGCTACGGCCCCGCAGTAATATCAAAGATCGATGCGGGACGCCGCAGGGGTCCCTAATTACTGCGAGCTTGCAATCTGAATGGCGGTCGAGCGCATGACACCTCATAAAACAACAATGGCCGTTTCCTAGACGGGTTCTTTGGGGGCGCCTGGCAGACAAAACCTGCGACTGCCATCATTGCCCGCCACCTAGATCGACCTGTATCTCCAACGCAGAATCCGAAAAATGGGAATCGACAAACTGTTACAAGGATAACACTCGGAGCGAACCGTCCTAGGTACAATCGATATCGACATGGTACGCGGTTTGATTGTGCATGTGTTTGCTTGGGATTGGATTGCAATTTGCGCGACATAATTGCTGGTGCCCCTTCCCCAATGTCGGTCGGTAT